TACAGTGATCCCTCGGTTAACGAGATTTCGGTTAACGAATTACCTTCCATAAGATTCTTAACTTCGGTCAACGAGCAATCCCTCGATTAATGAGTTTTTAACGAGTGCCCCTCCACATGTTTTCGCTTGCATTTGGCGGTCCACCAGCTGAAGTATTAGTACGCCAATACAGTAATCGGTTCTAAGGCTTAAATTCCTTACTATTTTAGTAAATATCAAGATGTGTGTACTGTTCAATAATTTTAAAAGTTTTATATTAAATTTTTTAGTCATTTTAACAATTATTGAACATAATTGAAGTACAGGAAGCTAGTTTTTTGCGCGCCAAACAGCCTATCAACACACCATACAGGCGTCAGTCTCTGTGTCTTTTCAGTGGAGGTAACATCTTGCTTGAGACTCTCTTCAACTAAACGCTTTTTTCTGTGTTTCCAAGCAAATTATTGGTCAATTTGAAATTTATTTTACATATTGACAATATATTATGCAGTGCAGTGTTGATTTAAAGAAAATAATCTTGAATTACACCAAGAGAACTAAAATTTTATGGGTGAAATGGCACCATGGGGTGACTTCTCTTCCACCCCAATGCCTTCTCTTCTCCCTTCTCCTCCACCCCCATTCTAATTCCCATCATCATCATCATCATCATCCAGGAGCCTTCTACATACACACCTCAAAGTAAGTGAACTTTACTACCTTTTTTGATGATTTTAGGCAATTTTCGGTGAGCTGGAACCAATTACCCAAAACCCATTGAAACAATGGTTTCAAGTTAACGAGTTTTTCGGTTAACGAGCAACCTTCTGGAACGAATTGTGCTCGTTAACCGAGGGACCACTGTACTATTAAAATTATAAGTTATAAATAATAATAATAATAATATTAATAATATCAACATTCCATTTCACTTTCATCTTATGTTTGTAAACACTAGGAAGGGAAAAAGAAGCACCAAAAATAGGATCACGTGGTTTAGGTAAAAGAAAGAGAAAAAAGGTTAACTAACTTTTATAAACAAAACAAAATAATTTCTTCAGAATCCCTGGTCTCAGGATCATTATACAGCTCCTCCCCGACTTACGACCTACTCGACTTACGACCACCCGTACTTACGACCTGCCTCAGTCGTACCAAAATTTTGTCAAATTACTTATTTTCGAGTCCCAACGTAAGTACACAGACAAAATTTTCGTTTATAATTCACTTTAAAATGGCTGTCAAGCTTAAAAGTGAGAAGAAAAGGGGACACCCATATTAGATTTTCTATGTATTATTTAAGCATTTTCGACTTACGACCTGGATTTGGGTCCCTAACCCCGTCGTAAGTCGGGGAGGACCTGTACAAGGACTTCACCAAAGGATAATGAGCACAATAATCAACAACAGTAAAACAGATTACAGTTCCTTACATCATAACAGAAGAAAAACTCCACAAATTAGTACCCTACACCAAAACTTACCCAGAGACAGACTGTCAAACAGACCATGTCCCAGTAATGAGTTTCTTGTCATAAAAACTTAAGAAATTAAACAGCAGAAAAGTTATATAAAATCATATGTGATTTAGGGAAGTGGGAAACACACACTGGTACAGTACAGTATCTGGGAAAACTAACACAATAGGGCATTTTTTCTCAGCTGAAAAAAGATGCCCCGCCCCCTCCTCAAGGGTTACAGCGATGTATTTCTAAATGAGCTTATTAATAATCGTTGGGATGACCGTTTCTGACGAGAAAGATAAATAGCTAAATACAGAAAGATACATATATTCATTATTTCAAACATGAGCAAGTAGGAAATTTATCAGAAATCTTACGCATGAATTAACTGTTAAACTCTGGTAACAAATTCATGCTTTCAGATGATGCATTTAATATACAGCTCCTCCCCGACTTACGACCTACTCGACTTACGACCATCCGGACATACCACCGCTCCAGTCGTACCAAAATTTCTTCAAATTACGTATTTTCGAGTCCCGACGTTAGTGATTGCGCTGTGTACTGAAAATTTTTGTTTGTAATTCCCTTTAAAACGGTTGGCAAGCTTAAAAGTGAGAGTTTTGTGGTGCTGAGAAGAAAAAGAGACACCCATTTTAGATTTTCTATGTATTATTTAAACATTTTCAACTTACGACCAATTCGACTTACGACCTGGATTTGGGTCGCTAACCCCATTGAAAGTCGGGGAGGAGCTGTATATATTAAATGCATCCTCCAAAAGGGTGAAAAAACACACTATAGTACAGTATTTTAAGAACAATACTGACTGAGATACAATAGTGGGAACAATACTGACTGAGAGACAATAGTGGGAACAATACTGACTGAGACACAATAGTGGGAACAATACTGACTGAGACACAATAGTGGGAACAATACTGACTGAGACACAATAGTGGGAACAATACTGACTGAGACACAATAGTGGGAACAATACTGACTGAGACACAGTAGTAGTGGGAACAATACTGACTGAGACACAATAGTGGGAACAATACTGACTGAGACACAATAGTGGGAACAATACTGACTGAGACACAATAGTGGGGACAATACTGACTGAGACACAATAGTGGGAACAATACTGACTGAGACACAATAGTGGTGGGAACAATACTGACTGAGACACAATAGTGGGAACAATACTGACTGAGACACAATAGTGGGAACAATACTGACTGAGACACAATAGTGGGAACAATACTGACTGAGACATCAAGGGAAGTAACTAAAGGTTTATCCTGATGGAACTGTTGTCACGCTGGTCTTTGAAACAAGCATTAGATAATAGGTGGTATTTACTCTGATGTGTGTGGCCATAACTCTGAACCACAGGGACAGTTCCCCTTCCTCAGAACACACAGAGAACACAGTACAAGGCAGGCAGTGTGATGTGGAGAGGTGATGGATGGTTTACTCTATATCTCAAAGCACTAAATAAATGACCAATCAGCCATAAAATCTCTTAGTATATCCTTAAAGACTAATTACCATAACAGGTTGAAAAGAAAAAAAAAACACTGACCTTATTATCCTGTGGTTCATTGTTTCAGGGATGTGGTGAATGGTATGGTTAGAGAATGTGTAGATGGACGAGGTACTGGACGTGAACATGAGATCGGTCAACACCTCACTCGATGATATTCTTGCTGGGCATAAAACAGGATCCACCAGAATTTGATCTTTACTGGCTGGGAGTGTCTGGGAGCACCGGGTCTTCACTCTCTCATTCCAGGTGTTGCGCAGGTATCGTATGTTTGCGTACTGAAGAGCAGCATATAACATTAGCCACCTGAGATGAAGGAATAATTAGGTCATGGGGAGGTGATGGTTACAACATTAACAACATGGAACCCTAAGAAAATATCCCTATATTATGTGGACTAAATCTCTGGCAAGTAAATACTTGTACCAGTATCTCTGTGTACCATGAGAACTACTAACATCTATAACTGTTTAATTAAATCCAATTATACCAAATATCTGGCCAATATAACACAATTATATGTTCGTTATATTTCCTTCAAAATCATTTACAATACAATTTCAAACTTATCATCAGTTGTTCCTTAAATATAATACAGCAGCTTTATAAATCTTCTAATAAAATACTCAACTACACAAAAAATATATGACAGGTACTGCTTTAACCCTATGTGCTATGCACATATAATATCACCTGTGCTTTGTTTAGGTCCAATACAGCAGCCATTCATTTCTCTGACAACCCTCAGAGTCACCAGATAGAATACAGGTACAGTATCCCTGTTTTATGATATTTTGCTTTAATGATGTTGATGTTTTAAAACAACCTTCCTATTTATGATAAAAAAAATTGACATTAACAATGGTCATCATTCAGCCAAACTCACTGACTCACAAAACATGGAATGCATCTCTCGCTGCACTTAGCAGCCACAGTATCATCTACCCACATGCCGCCACGTGGCCACCCGGTGCACTACAATCCCAAGCGGACTTTGAAGTCCGCGTGTTATATGGACTAAAAATGAAGTATATATGGTACCTCGTGTTTCATACCAGCTGGATTGGGTAAAATGCTACTGACATCCACATAAAAGGCACGGGCAGTTCCCAATGGGAGGTTCACGGCGCCATCAGCTCGATGAACAGGCTTTGTGTGAAATATAACATAGTCTAGAACTGCTTTTAGTGTCTTTGTGGCATGGTCGGTAGCGTTCCCTGATCCCACACAGTAGGTCGAGGGTTCGAGTCCTGGCTGGTGAGGTCGTTGATTATGTGTTCAAAGTCCGCGGGTTATATGGACTAAAAATGAAGTGTATATAAATATATATATATATATGCAAGTAAATCATTGTAGTTGCGCATGATCCAGGTATATGCTGATAACCACAAGGAAAGAAGAAAACACGAAGTTCCCAAGCGCTTTCGTGTAATTCACATTTTCAGGGGTGAGTACAGACTAAGGAGAAGTACAAAACAAGGTGTATATATACAGAGGAGGGTGAGATCAGGCCCACAATGGTCAGGTATTAGGTAGTGACCTTACTAATCTTTAAAAAACACCGCAACGGTCAGCAGTCAGGTCAGAGGGTAAGGTGACCCAACCTTCTCACCTGGTTACAAATCTTCTTAATTACAAAATTGTCTAGTTTGTACATGCCATTACTCAAATTCATGTTGACTGCTTCGGTATGTTTAATGAGACTAGATTCTATAATGTTCCTACTGTCAATTGAATTACAAGGTAATATTGAGGAGGCATTATCCCAGTCAATGCAATGCTTATTATCCCTCAGATGAACAAACAGAGCATTGGATTCCTGGCCTGTCCTAACACTATATTTATGTTGTTTAAGTCTAGTTACAAGATCTTTACCTGTCTGGCCTAAGTAAAACATATTACATTCCTTGCAAGGAACTTTATAAATGCAATCAACTGTGTTGTTGGGGGAGTTCTTGATTAACATTTGTTTAACAGTGCATGAGTTTTTAAATGCCACATTGACGTTCAGGTTTTTAGTTGTAAAGGAATTTGAGAGAAATTTTTGTGAAATGGTAATACTAAGAGATTCTTATGGTCATGGGTGGGCTTGGGATCAGTTCTATAAAAAGATTTCTTAGTAATGTTCAGGCATTTGTCTATGAAAGATCTAGGGTATTTAAGGTTTGAGACAATATTATAGATATATTTATATTCCTCATCAATGAATTCCGGGCTGCAAATTTTCAAAGCACGTAAAAACATTGTTGAAAATACTGACTGTTTGACTCTATTATGGTGGGCAGAATAACAATGAATGTATGAACACACATTAGTAGATTTTCTATAAATACTGAACTTAAAGGTGTTACCTATTCTGTGTATCAGACTGTCTAGGAATGACAATTTACAGTCATGATCTAATTCTACAGTGAATTTGATCGAAGGGGCTAAGTTAATGTGGCATTTAAAAACTCATGCACTGTTAAACATCCAGTACCTTGAGTAATTGTGTTAAGCAGGAGCGTCCCAGCATAAAACCGTGTTGGCAGTTCTTTACAGGGTTGTTTCATAGTAGATGTTCCATCATGGCATCTCTTATAATACTCTCAAGTACTTTACAAACTATGCTGATCAGGCTCACTGGTCTATAATTATTCATGGAGTGACAATCACCCTTCTTGAAGATAGGACTCACATATGCCATTTTCCATTCACTGGGGACCTTTTGCTCATCCAGGCATTTACAGAACAGGATCTTCAGAGGCTCGGCAAGCTCATTGCACAACTCTCTTAGCACTCTAGGATGCACCATGTCAGGGCTGGGACTCTTATGGACTTTTAGCTTTGACAGTTTATTTCTAATACCCTCTTCTGTGAACACAATGTGGGTCAGTGCTGTGTCGAACCACCTGAACTCAAACACAGGAAGGTTAGTTGCATCCTCTCTTGTGAACACCGAGGAAAAGAAGCTGTTCAATGCCTCAGCTTTGTCCTGGTCAGAATCTGTGTAACTACCATCTTCAAGCGTCAGGTCTGATACTCCTACTCGCATTTTTAATTTCGACTTTGCATAGCGGTAAAACTCCTTTGGGTTTGACTTGACCTCGCTTGCAACCAGCCTCTGGAAATCTTTTTCAGCCCTTCTTCACTGACTTTGCTTGGTTCCTGGCTCTTGCCTACATCCTCCTGTCCTGCTCATCAGGAATTTCTGAGTTTTCTTCTTAAATTTGTCGACCGCCATATGGTTCATGTGTAACGGTCTCCTTGTATTCCTGGAGGCACTAGTTTGGTCTTGGGTATATATTTATCGATCAAATGGTTCACTTTACTGGCTATGATATTCAGCCTAGTGTCTGTGTTCTTATATCTTCGTGAGTCAGGCCAGCGAGTACCCCTCATCTTCCTCATTCCGTCGTAATTACCCTTGTAATATTTGCACCTTGGCCTGGCCTTATCATGAACTAGGTAACAGTTAAATCTGAATGACAACACTACATGGTGGCTGGTGCCAACTGGGCTAGATGTTCCAGTTTGGCCACCATACCCTCTGTATGGGGTGCAACGAGAGGGTAGGTTGTCCACCGCTCGTTTGCTTGTTCGCGGCCCCCCCTCGGGGGGGGTGAGAAGGTCGCTGCTGCCTCATCGCATGGCAGAAGACACGATCCAGCCGTCACCACAGCTGTTACTTCACCCCGCTTGTCAGGGCTGTAACGAGCAGGATGGTTGCCCGCCGCTCGTTTGCTTGTGGTAGACGGAGGTGAGAACGTCACTGCTGCCTCGACACACAGATCAGACACTACCCAGTCGTCAGCACAGCTGTACTTATACCCAGCTGTTCGTTCAAATTCTGGTTGTGATCTTATCATATGTCCTGGGCTCATGGGCTGATTCCCCAGACCTTCACAATCTGCCACGTCATCATCACTTCCTCCACCGTCTGTGCCCTGGCGTCTCTCTTGTGTGGCAAGACATCACCCACCAACACCTGCGCCAAGCGAGGAAGCTGCCCTGGACCTTCCCCCTGAGAGCGGATCACCGAGTTACCAGAACATTCTACAGGGCTGGGGCCGGATACTCAAAACACCTCATAAGTTACGTCCTTTAGCATGATACAGTACCATATATTGTCGAATCTTTACAGTACCGTAAATTTAGCATACTAAAAATTTAATTACAGTACCGTAAGCCTTTCGTAAGTTTTCATAACTCTAGTGTTTACCCTGTAAATTAAGTTCTCTTGTCGGAAGGTAGATGTCAGTGCAGGAGCTAGTTGGCCAATCAGCGCTCAGTTAACAAAATCATCAACCAATCAAAAGAGAAGGAGAAATCAGCTGAGAGCGACGCACATAATATTATTTTGTAAACATGGAAGGACCACCAGCCAAGAAGAGACGGCCTAATTTCAGTGAGGCTGAAGTATGCGCTATTCTGGGCAAATTCAAATAAATTGGTTATTGATAGCATAGCCTTGCCGAACCTAAATGACAAATCACTTCTCTTAAATTACTCATTTAGCCTAGACCCTGGTGTTTTCCTTTCAATGTTGGGGACATTTAGTCTGAATTGTCTTCAAGTTCATACAAAAAACAACAATTTAAAACCTGAAAATATATCGGATTAGCCATAAATTTTCTTAAATTAATACTCTACCTATGATAATGTTCAAGGAAAGTCTGGAACTAGGCCTAAGGTAGCTGCTAGACAAAGTGTCTCACTGACGGCCTGACCCTCACCAAATAACCATGTACACATTCTCTAAGCTAACCTAACATACCATAACATAACCAAACCAAACCAAACCTATCTAACCTATACCCTATTGGTATAATTTCTTATTTAAATAATCCTCATGTTCTAACTAAATTAAGTAGGCCCCACATTTAAACATTTATTTGCCTAAGACTGAAAAAGCAGTTATATAGGCCCCTATTAATCAAGTTAATTGCAATCCATATTTTACGCCTATCATTTAATTTTGGCTAGCCTATGGAAATTTATAGCCTTTCATGTTATCATACTCGATATACATAAGAAAATAGGCTAAGGCTATTGGTTGAATATTAGAAAAACAAGGCGAAGTCTTGGCAGGAATGTTCACTTGACCTCATATTTGGCTTTCATTACTGAGGGATATTTACGGCTATACAACATTAATAAGTTCTATCTGCAAGTTTACTCAGTCATAAAACATATTTTTACCCTAAGTGTGAACAATACAAACCTTCTGTTTTGGTAAAAAATACTTTATAATTTGTAAGAAGACAAAAGATGCGTCTCTTCCAAACTGAGACAAATACAAACACTCAAGCCGCTTATTATGGCAA